CAGATGTCAGGGTGACTGAAGTCCCCCATGAGAACCAGGGTTTAGGATCAGGAAACTTCCCCTAGCTGTTTGAATAAAACCTCATTCACCACTTCCCTGGGCAGGATCTGGTACCTGGTGCCTGGCTTCTCTTCTACTTCCTCCTCGTGCCCCCCAGCAAACTGCCTGTGAACTATTTACCTTGTTTGCAGCCCCTGTTTGCAGGCTACCTGGTCATTGGCATCCACATCTAGATGTAGCATTTGAGAGAATGAGATGTCTGGAGGAAGCAAGAGGACACATTTCTTGTTTATGAATTATTGAAAGAGGCTGAAAGTTTGGTTTCTTGGGATTTTTTTTTAAACAAGAATGTGTCAAGATTCCTCCTAGCAACCATGCAGATCTCTAAGAGGAACTCAGAAATGGCTTTGGGGGATGCAAAACCCTGATGAGCACAGTTACTGCAGCCACAGTATAGCAAAAATATTTGTGTGATAAAAAGGATGAAAATATGAGGGTGTCAATTTTAAGCTGGGCCTTAGAGGTATTTAAACATCTACCTTCTTTTTGGCAATGGTACAAAAGTTAGAATGACAAGCATGAACACATGAAACCATATTAATATGAGAATGTGGTTTTTTAAAATGTCCTTTGATTTCTGATGAATTCAGATTAAAACATTATGCACATATTCAGTAAGACTGGGTTTTTCTGGGTTGGGGGGGAGAGGTTTGATCCTGTGATTTAGGCAACTAAATGTGCATTCTTTTAAGTAGTGATAATACATACAAATTAAAAAGAGGGGCGGTTGCTATGGGGATTGTGCTGAATAGTGTAGGTGAGCATCTGAAGTTAAAATGCAGTATAATCTCCAGAGAACAAACAGCTTCAGGAACATTACAATTGAGGAAATTATTCAATGTGTAGGGTTCAGGTCTGCCTCTGAGGAGGCTGAGCTGTCTTAGATGAGGGGAAGAGGCACACAGGATCTCAGGCAGCATGTTATCATTAGGTTACATTAGGCCTTGGAGATCCATATGCCCTCTGCATACTGGACAGTGCAGTTAAAAGCAGGGCTTGTCTCATGTAAAAGATGTAGCAAGTTTTATAGTGTGGGCTCATCTACGTGTGCAATTAGTGCTATAAGGGTTTACTCTGCAGTAATTTACTGCAAAGTAACCCTCCCTCCCCCTGGGGCATCTTCCAGGAGCAACCTGAACAGCTCCACCTGCACCTGGAGCAGCAGGCCACCACCATGTAGTGGCCCCTGCCTGTGGACACCTGGCTGACTATCACCCTGCTCAAGCTGGCCACACCCACCAGCTTGTGCTACATAGGCCACCTCTTCAGCATGGGCAAGGTGATGGCTAGGAAGGCTGTCCTAGGGGTGTTCAGCACCCTCCAGCATGCGATGGGGCACACCGTGCTCTGGGTATACAACCCCCTGGAGGCGGTGGCAGGGTTCCATGTCCTGGGCTTTCCCCAGTGCATCAGGGCCCTGGACAGGACCCACATCCCTGTCATTTGCTTGTCCCGCAGCTACTGCCCCTACTACAGCCAGCAAGGCATTCATTCCATTGTGCTCCAGGCCATCATTGAGCACTGTAGTGCCTTCATGAACATAAGTGCCAACTAGGCAGGCAGCACCCATGATGCCTGCGCCTTCTGCAACTGTGCCCTGCCAGCCCTGGTGGAGAGCAGGCGCTTCGTGCCAGGGGTACTAGACCTCCAGCTGGGCATGGTGGTGGTCCTGCTCCTTGGCATCGGGGACCCCACCTACCCACTCCTCTCATGTGGACCTACACTGGCCATCTGGATCCCCACACTTCAACAGGTGCCTGGGCCAGATCCACATGCTGGTGGAGTGAGCCTTCAGCTGCTGGGGGGAATGCTGGTGCACCCTCACTGCCTGCCTTGAGGTTGCGGTGGCCAACATCCGCCAGGTCTTTATCACAGCCAGTGTGCCGCATAACATTTGGGACACCCAGGGACAGCTCTTCCATGAGGCCTGGGAAGAGAAGGCACAGTAGGTGGAGGATGCCTAGCACCAGGAGCACCAGTTGCAGTGACAGTGACAATGAAAGGCCCCCAGCTACTGAAGCCCTGAGTGAGCCACACACCTGGCAGCAGGGGCCAGGGCACTAGGTGTGAGAGGTGCTGGTGGACCACTTGCCCCTGCACTCCTTGCTGTAGGACATCTGGATA